CACAGCCCCAGTGCGCCCGGCCCCATGGCTGCGCCGCCAGTCCAGCCGCCGGGAGAAGCCGCGCCCCGGCGCGCACCCCGCGCTCAGGAGAGGAGAGGAGAGGAGAGGAGCCGCCCTGCGGGCGGGGGCTGGGGCGGCGGCTTGGACTCGGGGTCGTGTCCGGAGAACTGCCCACCGTGGACCCAGGCTCCCGTGTCGCCCAGGGGTGCAGCGGGAGCGGGAGCTGGGCGTGAGCAGGGTCCCCCCCGCCTCTTCCCTTCTCCCTCGCAGGCTCCGGCACTGAAGGGAGCTGGGGAGTCCCAAAAGCCCCGCACTCCCTACTGATGCCCCTTGCCTCCAAAAATTAGCCGGATCTTTTTTTTTTTTTTTTTTTAAGTTTGACTTTTAAGACGCTTTTCCTGCTGGGATCCTCTGTCCCTAGCTGACTTCCTGCCCCTTGGGCAGGGGGCTAGATCCGATGATCTTGCCCAGGTCCCTCCCAGTCCTGATGTCCATAAAACCTACGTCTAAACTGCCAGCTTCCACCCAACTGGGTGGCAATGAGCTGTACGCTTTCATTGCGGGTTGTGTGGGAAAAGACCTTCCTTGTCAGGCTGGGTCTATTTGCACTGAGTCAGATCTAGAGAGAGCCCTGGCAGACCTAGGATTTGGAAAAGGGGGTTGCAGAGGGTGCGGTTCATGATGGTAAGGATTGCCACTTGCTGAGTCAAGCGCAGGTCCCTCTTGCCCAATCTCTTTCATCACCTTGGGATAGGAAGTGGTTACCAAAAGGGAGAGTGAACTGGGTTTTTTCCCCACCTTCCTCTTTCCCTTGCAGCCTTGAGTATTTAAGGTCTAGGAAGTTCTGGTTCTGTGGCTTTGCCCCTAACTCCCATGCTCAGCAGCTCCTGATGCCCCTTTTCTCCAAGAATTCGTCCAGTCCCTTTCTAAATCTGGCTAAACTGGCCATGTCTACATGAGACAATACTGTGCAGTAGCACTGGGGGGGCACTAACCATGACATGGCATTACTGCACAGTAGTGTCAAAACAACAACCAGTTACTGCACAGTCGTTTAGTCCTTGATTATGCACGTACTGAATGACTGCATGGTAAAAACTGTGCAGTTCACCACTTCTGTAGACACAGGCACTTCCACAACTGGTGGCAAGGACTTCCAAGCTTTCATTGCACACTGTGTGGAAAAGACCTTCCCTATCAGGTAGTAAGGCAGGGTCAATTTGCACTGAATCACGTCTGCACAGAGCCCAAGTGGATCTGGGATTTGGAAAAGCAAGGTGCAGATGGTATGGTTCATCATCACCGGGGACCCTGGTTTTCTCTGATTTAAAAACATCCCCAATTTTCGGTTTAAAAAAAGTTACCTCAAATCCATATTTTTTCACAATTAAAATAAAACACAGCACTGTGTAGATCCACTGTACAGCCCACTGACTGACTGCAATAGCTAGCTTCATCATCTGTCTTCTCATGTCACATGTATTTGTAGAAAGCTGCCAGTCCAGAGGTATGTTTCAGCTGTGCCCTTGCTTCAGCAAACTTGGGAGGACGTTTAACTTTTGAGCAAGTGTATACGTGTTCAAAGGATCATAGGCAAGTAGGGTCCTCGTGAAGTCATCTTGTAGGATTGTCTTTAACTCAACCAATCCAGCCAAGTACCTGTCCAACCTGCTCTTGAAAACTTCCAAGGATGGATATTCCACTGTTTCTCTAGGCAGCCTGTTCCAGTGCTTGGCCACCCTCACGGTCATAAAATCCCTCCTAATCTCCAACCTAAATTTCTCCTGCTGCAGTTTGACCCTCTTACTCCTAGTCCTGTCCCCTATAGCCATGGAGAAGATCCCATCTTCATTTCTTCTCAAGACTGGAACCTATAAACATACTTCCCTCCCTCACCAGAACAGAGCCACTTCTGAGTAAGGGAATATGCTCACAGCCTGCTGAATCTGACACAGAGCTGATGGAAGCTCCATTTTCAGGATCTCACCTCTAAATCTTCTAGAGCAGCAGTTCCCAAACTCTGACCGATTGTGCGCCACCAAGTTAAAATGATACAACCTTAAGTACCACCAGTGAATTTTTGTCATATAAAGTAATTATAAATAAACCTGTTAACGCATGCCACTGACAGGATGTTTGCGTACCACTGATGGTACCCATACCACAGATTGGGAACCACTCTTCTAGATGGTCACATATTAAAAGAGAAAAAGTATATGCAAGCGTCTTAAAATATTTCATCCTATCTTGTCCCTAGCAACATGACATTAGTATATACAGGTTTCCCTTGCCAACCATGGGGGTTAGGTTCCTGAAAGTTCCCGGGGTTGGCAAAACTGTGGTTGGCAAAACCAGCAGGACTGGGGGAGCAGGGGCTGTGGGTGCAGGTGAGGGGTACCAGCAAGGCTGGAGGGGGGAAAGGAGTGAGAGACATGAGTAGGGCCAGGGGGGCAGTGGAGGGTATATTCAGACTCTAACTCCACCCCTTCTCTGAAGCATGGATATTTAAAACTGTGGTTGACAAAACTGTGGTTGGTGAGGGAAATCTGTATGTACTAAACTATGAGCAAGGCTGATCTAAGCGAGGCTGTGTTTTTTGTTCTTTTACATTCTTTTTCAATTTTTTTGTAGGCTTTTCAGCAGGGCATGGGGAGGAGGAAAGAAGTTTCTTGGGTTTGCAGGCGAGAGGGTGAGAGCAAGGGGGGTGTCATTTGGGGAATCCTGCTTGTAGGTTGTGTGTTTATTGTACGCTGCTTAGAGTCTTTCGAATAGGGCTGAATATAAATTTAATAATAAATTAACAAGCCTACTTACAGAATTACCTCCATTCGTTCAATAAAAGTTCCAATAAAATAGAATACAAATACAACAAATACAGTAAAATCATGAAAGTTCCAGTAAAAGCTCTGGCTCACAAAAACTTATGCATCTCTGCTTTAGTTATTGCATAAGGTGCATCTCTAGCCTGCTTTCTGCCTGACTTAAGATGAACACAGCTACCTCACTCTAAAATTGAAGAGGCTCTTGATGTTAAATATAGTTTTCTTATCAGAACCATCATCTGTTTAACTATAGCTTTCATGTTCGTATTCTGAAAGCAGTGTATTGCATCAGTAATACAGCCTTCAACAACACAGCCTTCTCTTTTTGTGGTCAGCTGCTAGTATTATAAAAGAAGTCTTGAGTGTATATGATGAGGTAGGAAAAAAAACCCACAAGCAGTCAAGAAGCTAGGTAATTTACTAATTATAGTAAAGCCTCCTTGCAGTCAGTGAACATAGTTATGCCCGATTCAAAACTGAACAACTAAAATGGCTTGAAAATAAAAAAGGCTCTTGAATAAATATTTTAAACTTCTGTGTTGCTCAACATATCTTGGCACAGTCTGATATGGCAAGTCATTTCTTTTGCTAGGTTTGTTCCAGTCCTGAAAGCAGATTTTTTTACTGTGAAAAAAGTGACAGTTTATCCCAGGATTGTGCAAGGCAGTGTTAACTACTTGCTTTGTTCATACTGAGATTATCTCATGCCCCGGTTTCCTTGGAAGTTTGAAGCTGCTGAGAGAGAATCTGAACTCAGTTGAACTAGGTTTTTTTTCTCCCCAGCTCACTAGATAGCAAATAAACCTTAATTTTCTTCATATGTTTCCACATGTTTATATCTGGTGCTTGGGTTTTGAACATCAACTGTCATATGTATTCAAGCTGGAATTTGTAGGAGTGCCAGAAAAAGATATTGTAAGACAGTTTAGGATAGACAATATTTTTTTCTGGCAACCTTTTAGAAATTTAGCAGAGAAGTCTTAACATTTTCTTTATAAAAAGAAACAGCTAAGGTAGAGGTGAAGTCATTAATTGGTTTCTCATGTTGTTTTGGTAATTGCCCACTGCTTCACTCACAAAAAAGATATGGTCTATCCTAAACTGCCACAGTATGCCTTGAGATTATAAACTTCTCTCAAAGACCTTGTATTTAAGGTATCCATGTATATCTTAATCCCTAAATTATTACTGTCACATCTGTATCCACTTATAGAGGCAATGTACATACTTAATGAGCAAGGATCCTGGTTTTCTCTGATAAAAAAATCCCCAGTTTTCAGATTTAAAAAAGCAACCCAAAATCCACTTTTTTCTCTGGATAAAACACCACTATCTATATCTATATATCTATATCTATATCTATATCGAGAAAGAGAGAGAGAGAGAGATACACACACACATATATATTAGTGTTGGTTCTTTTTAATCATGGAAAAATGTGGATTTTGGGTTACATTTTTTAATCTGAAAATTGGGGATTGTTTTTTTTTTTTTAATCAGAGAAAACCAGGATCCCTGCTAATGAGATATTTGTTTTAGTATGTGAAAGAGTTTTGTAATCCTCAAAAATGCTGGGCTGCAGGGGGGGAGAGAGGTCCCTTCCCCTCCTAGTGCTGGTGGGGGAGGCTGGGTAGATCCCACCGGGCTGGGGGGCACATGCCCGCCTCTTCTCCCTGCTCCCCACCCTGCTACGGCCGAATGTACACAGGCATGTGCACTCCACTCTCACTCTCTACACATGAACCTACACATACACACACGGATAGACAGACGCACACTTTCCCCTCACAGGACCCCCCCCACCCCACTCTCGATCACATGGAGGCAGCCCTCTGCACCCTGTCCCCCTGCCCGCTGTGAGCCGCCTGTGGCTCAGTCTCATTTCCTGCCCAGCCCCATTGCGCTTTCCTGCAGGGAGCTGCTGCCCAGCTGTCCCATGCAGCCACGCAGATGCAGGGGGTTGGGCTGGGCTGGCTCGGGACAGGA